TACATTCTCAAATTTAACTAATTACTACACTTTTGCATACTAAATTTTCGATACTAATTTCAAAAAAAAATAGAACAAGCACTGTGTATGAATATTTGTGATTTTGTAAGTTTAAAATGAATGTGAATTTTCTGATGCCATCACAAAATTTATATATCTTATTGCGAATAATAATCGTAACTAGCATTGGCATGATTTTCTTAGTTTCAAATAATAATTTAAATGATTTGCTTTTTGGTAGTTTTCAGAGGGTAAAATTTATTTCGATGTTATGGATTTATGTGATTGATTAATTTAAAAAAAAATATCTATTATTAGGTACTTCTTTTTATCCACAATTATCCCTTAACTTGGACCGCACAATTCTGTTCGCCAGTGAATACCACGTCTGCTTAGAAGTTGTGACGTTACACGCCAGTAATGCGTCACACTTGCAATCTCACTCGATGTGCCAAGACACAAAGTTCAAATTCAAACGTCTGCCACAACTCATATGTAAATCCCGTTTTGTTGTTTGACGCTACGTGAAGTGTGAGAGTGCCTGCGCATTTATAAAAGTTCCATTATGAATTCTAAACTGTTTTATATTTCAATGGACTGCATAAGTATGCGTCGCTGAAAAGTCGTTCGGACTCATAAATGGAATGCGCACGAAATTTCCCGTACGGCGCAAATAGTCGCCAAAGGAATGGGGAGTAAAGGGCCATGTAAGTGTACCTCATAAGTAGGGTTACTAAGCCCAGGAAATGGGAATCCGATAATTAACCAGCTAACCGGCAAGAAAAAATGTCAATAATATTGCTCGGGCAGCCTGTAGACTACAAGTATAGCCGGAGTGGTAAAATTCTGGTCTTTGCACTTAAGATCCGGTCAACACCGGATTTATACGGTCAGATGGTAGTTTGTCGCTACTTGTGAGTAGCGACAAACAGTTACGTTGCATACAACAGATGACGGTTATAAAAATTTATAATTAATTTAGCGACTCCATGGATCATTACATTGTGTTAATCCAAATATACTAATGTTGAAAGAAATACTTATTAGTCTTCTTTCCATCTTCGATTACGCGTCCTGTATATTTTAAAATAATTGCAACAATCAGATTCATGCTTATCACAACGAAATTTCCATGAAATGATGCGATTTCATGACGCATATTTAGTGCAATTTATGTAACTATATAAACATATATCTTTCCAGTTTATTGTTAGCTGGAAAGATATATGTTTTCAGGTTATTGTTTAAATATCAATATGTATATAATTAAATAAACATCAAAACAGTAGTTTTATTTTCAATTACTTCTAAGCTACTCCAGTATTGTTTATTTACTAAAATTTTAGTTTTAAATTAAAATTTTTTTCGTTTACTTTATATGATAACATAGTTATATACTATAACCGATGGGTAGTAGATGACAAAGAACACTATAAATAAGGGCTGATTTTTCGATCATTACATAAAAACTATTCATAGGAATAGGATAAAGTATAAAAAGAAATTAAGGATTGTATCAATAAAATAGTTTGTGTCAATTTTAAATTAAAAGTTATAATTAAGTTAATAGGTACATAACTTTTATCTGACGATTTAAAAAAAAACCGCCTTAAGTTTCATATCTCTTCCTAAGAATAGTTTTATTTCTAACCCTTTCACAAATTAATAAATTGCATTTATATTTTTAAAATCATAAAATGCAAATCAAAATATAATATTTTCCAATAAAACCAAAACTTGGTAAATGTCATAGACATCATCATCCTTGTTACATGTCATCATAAGTTCACTGCTGAACATAGATCTCCTCAAGGAACATCACAATCGCCACAACTTTTATAACACCTCTGAAATGTGATTCTATTAGGCTACAAATGACACTATGTCATAAAAAAAATGCTTTGATTTGAGCAAATTCAAATCATGTTTACACTTTCAGTCGCTTTAGTTTCTATGTTACAAATCTACATCTTGACAGAGAAATATTTTAGCTAGCATTTGCTAATTATTTCTTCTGTTGGTCACAAAAGAAAAAATTGTGGAAATATCGTTTTAAATTTGGAAGGGTTATATTGTTTAATTAGGAATGATAATACATTCATTGAAATTGAATGATATATGACTTTCAAATAATCCTACCTACTGTAAGTTATTTGTACTATGCCCATAACCTTCACGCAAGTGCAAGCAATAACTTGACTAAGTTTTTTCACAATGAATGGACGGTATGCAGCGCATAAAATATGAACAAACAAATATTAATTTTTATATATTAGATTATTAAAATTACAGTGTTTTATTTATAACATTAAAGTAATTAGCTGTAGCTGAGAGTCCATGTGATGAAGTGAGTATTGTAGTAGATGAAAACCTACAACTATCTGCAAGCAAAAAATGCTGCAGGTGCATTGAATACCTCATACCCTATTGAATTACTGACTTTTATTACCTTATTAGCTTTAATAATAATTTACAACAATAATTTACATTGCTGCTTGGCAGCAGAAAGATGGTAGTTAGAAGGGTGGTCCTTCCTAACAAATTTCTATTATTTGTCTTTGAACCGCCGATTTTTATAGTGCATTGAAGGAGAGTATCTCAAAGTAAAGTAATGAACCCCAATCATTTCTCAACACTGAGAAAATTTAACTATTTTATTCATACTACAGTAATTTTTAATTTGTTTGTGTTGTATTTTATTCAGTAGGTACATTATTTTTTATCTTATATTATGAGATTAGTTTTTATATTATGGTGTCACAAACAATAAGCATATTGACCTGACTATATGCCATAAATATATCTCAATAAGAAGTTAAATTTGTAAAAAATGTACATTTATAAGTTACAGCCTATTTGTGCTCTACAGTTGAGCTGTGTGCCCTCTTCTGATTTCTGAGAGGGTTGTAGAGCAATTAGTCTACCATGTTACTAAAGTGTGTTTTGGCAGACTCTTACATGTATTTGAAATAATTTATGCGTTAGACATGCAGGTTTCCTCACCATGTTTCCTCCATCTCTAAGTACACGGTAAATCAGCACTTAAAATAGCAATTAACCAATTCATTGGTGCCGACAGGGATCAACCCAGGTTGTAGGCATACTGTGAAATTTACTTCGAGCACTTAGCCCCTGAGCAATCATGACTCTATCAGTGATTAACAAACTTAAAAATAAAGAGTCCTCCGTGCTGCCCTAATACATATTGTGGAACTTCATATTGCGTTCAAAATATTATTTTTGGTGTCTTAGATATTCAGGTTTCCTCGCAACATTTTCCTTTAATTTAAATTTTACATTTGTGCCTGTGACACAATGAAATTTTAATATTTTAAATGCCGAACAACTGATTTCCCTCTTAGGATTGTGACTATTTTATGTATTTGTGTATATTTTTGTGTATATTTTATAATGGTGATATAAGTGGGCAATTTTAGTAATTATAAAAGGTAAATAATATAAAAGTAGGTCTCATTGAAAAAAAAAACAAAGCATAGGAACATTGAACTGAAAAAAATATTTGCTCTAATATAATTATCTACCGAGAAAATAGAGAGTAAATTTGTGACATGTAAAAACAACTGAGACATCTTATAAAATAATAATGTAATTTAAAGTTAATAATGATAATAAATATAGTATGTTTTATATGTTATGTAAACAAATAAAGGAAAAAGATATCTTAAATTTTAATATATAAGGATACTTTCCACTGAATGTAATAAATTATAAACAAACAATCTATCAAAACAATCTTTTATACATTTAAGTGCAAGAAACATTTGATACTAGTAGTGAATATATGACCGTGTAAGAATATTCACTACCATACATCATCGAGTAGGTGTCGTAAGAGGCGACAGAGGGAAGCAAACCAGAATATGGGCAATGACAAACAACCTAAACATAACGGTAATTGTAACAATAGTTAATATTAATTATTCTATTGATTGATTATTATGCATGTGCTTTGTAGCAATTAACAGGGGACGTCTAAATTCAGTAGTAGACTTGTGAAGAGTATTGATAATGATGATATGACTATTCTTGTGATTACCACATAATCCTATTATATAGATTCTGTGATATAGATGTAAAAAGAGTGTATAATGGAGAATTCTACAGTTAGCCCTCCCTCGTTAAGTTCGCTGTGACACTGGGTGCTCATCTTTAAGAATGTACCTTTAATGGTTTTATCAAAGCTTTTGTCATTATATTTGGTTTATTTATGGTAGGTGTGTTTTTGAATATAAATGCCCTTGCTATATTTTACCACTATCAATTCTTCTGTTTTCATAAGAAATAAGAATTTTGGTCAATCAGTATCCATATGTAACTTGTAAAATTAGAAAGGATTTCATTGAAGATGTGCCATTACATCTTCAATGAAATCCTTTCTTATTTTACAATTGATTGCTAATTAAGCCCACCTATTCTCATTGTAAATTATAATGCTGATAATTGTACCAAACTAAGATAGACTGCCTGCAATTTGCAAATTAATAATAACAATACATACCATACCAATAAGCATATAGGGCATGTCAAAGATTTTAATATTTTTTTATGTAAAAGAAAAAATTATAATGTCTGTTGGTCAAATTTAAATTCACACCTAGTAAAATAGGGCACATAAATAACATATTTTACAGATATGCAACAACACATACAACAACTCCTAACAATGAAAATAACAGCTGTTATTTCATGCAATAATTCAAATGCCACTTCATATTTTTTTGATAAATGAGACTCCGACTGAGCTTGTATCTTTTGTTATTTTTCATCATCTTGTTTTATGAGTTATCAAATAGTAAAAATTGTCTATAAATATAATATTAGTCAGTTTTTTTTAAATATTTTTAGTTATTATTATGAAAATTGGACAATTTTTTTTTTAAGAAATACTATGCTGTAACTAAACCTTGTTATACAAATATAAAAACTAAGTTAACTTATACTATAAAAAAAAAATACACATAAAACCAAAGAAAACTCACCAGCTACTTCAAGGAGTGTTTCGAGTCTTGCCTGCATCTCGGGATCGACTGCTCTTTCTGGGTCATCATGGGAGAGTAGGAACTTAGATGACTCTGCTACACTACCTTCTTCTTCCATCTCCTGCTAGAACACATTCAGAATGTTAGAACAATATTAACAAACCAAATATTAATCATTTATTTAAGGTTGTTTGTAAACAAGTTTTAATTGTGGTAGGTATAAGAAGATAACACAATTATTATAATTTTTTTATTTCCTAACCCAGATAAGGATTTGGGAAAAGCAAATAACAGCTCTCGTTACTTAAAAAAAAGCAACAACTCAGAAAACACAAAAACCAAAGCAGTAAAAAATAAGTTAAAATGTATCTGTTAATGTTTATATGATATATTTTATCAATAAATAAATAAATACTTATAAAACATTTTTTTTAAGTTATACATAACAAATCTGTACTTTGTTTAATTAAAAAAAAAACATAATGAAGTCTAGAATAAGATTAACAAAAATATAAAAAGATTAGTTTTTGTATAGGAATTCAATCTCAAGCTATTATATGGACAGCTGGACTATCATGATCAATCATGTAGGTTAGCAGTGTTAATGTTACCACTAGAAAAATAATAAAAATCAAAGCAATATAATTTGTTAGAATCACAAGGACCATTCAACATTAACCAAACAAAATGTTATGATACTGAAACGTCCATTGCACACACATTATGCAGGTTAACATTAAGAACCACTCTGCAACAGCGATTGGTGTTGATAAAGCTATTGGCACACGGCAGAGTTTTCTTCAACTTACCAACAGGTCTGGCCTGCTAAGGCACAAACAAGCCAGCAAGATCTATAACACCAACGAGAAAAATATAAGATACACTGACAATGTGGTGCCTAGGGACGAGCTTACAACTAATGTTTACAGTCAATGGTCCTTGCGATTCGCGAATAACCAACATTTTTGCGCGAATCGCTGCGGGCGTTTTGCACAAGTGGTATGTGCGTGACGACATTCAAGCAAAACACTACACACTAAATTTGGGTAAATCCATATAAATATCATATAACTAATGCAATCACATCGAAATATTGACATAGAAACACGATATTCAGTACTTCGCATTGACTAAATGCATGTGATTCAAGAAACATGGCCACCGTAGTTCGACCCTTATCCAAAACACAAATAGACAATGAAAAGATTTACGGCATATAGCCCTCAACGTAAAATTACAAAGAATCAATTGAATTTGTCAAGGGACGATTGGCATAAATTATTTCATGCATTACATACTCAGAAGAACGTATGTACCTGTGACTTTCTGACGTTTTACGGAATATTTGGCAAGCAACTAGCATCGTAGAAATAAAGAAAAATTATCATATCAACATATAATACACGATTAAAATCTATTTTATGAATAGATGAGATTACAATACAAAAAGAAATCCTTTGCCTAATCATATACAAGATGTCCCTTGTAGTCTTTAGCGGTACAGATAATCACAGTCCTTCACTGCCACCGCCTCTGCCAAAAACAAAACACGTTTTACCTCGGATACAGAATCATCCTCGCTTTCCGAAGAGTCCGTCATGTATTTGGCAGGCACTCCAGAATACGTTTCGGTTTCAGATTTGGCCGGACTCGAAGCCGAACTCTGAGGAGTGGATGATTTTACCACATCAAGTTGCACATTCACCTTATCGATATTTCGGTTTTCAGACTGTCCAACATTCTGCATTTTTATCCTAATCCAATACAACTTAATTAGTCTTTCAGTATCAACACTTTTTCTACGAAATTAGCACGTTCTTATATTAGCAAACAAAATTTATTTCGTCATTTAGCCAGATTGATACCCGCCATGTCTACTACTATGGCGAGGTTCCCGGATGCTTCAAGTAGGCTAACCAATTATCTCCCTCTGGCGATAAAATTGTGAACTTTTTTGTGCTGCCATCTGCTTTAAAAAATGCAATTTGATATTCATAGACAATTTATACTTTTAATAAAATATTTACCTACGTACTTTATGATGGGTAGGAAATGCGCAAGTACTTCTTATTAGTTTGTGGTAGGAAATTAACATAATTACAGCTTATAGCTCTTACGCCGGCTCTGGTCTCTCTCTTTCTCTTTACATTTTAAAAATTAACTACTACTTTACTAAAGACAAAAATATGTAGCGCACTAGATATTATCCTATACATATACAAGTCCACACCACATCTGCTACGATAGTATTTGATAGCAATATAAAACATATATATTATGTTCACACACACACAGACTTTAACAACAAGTTTGTGTAAAAATATTTTTTTATTGGAACGAAGTTCCTTATAGGACGGTACGGGTTTGGCGGATGGGAGCTAGGCGACAAAAAAGTGTGAGATTTTTTTCGTCACTAATCTTGCGTCAGAGTATATTTTATTTTAAATGACGCTTCATTTTAATAGACGCTAGTAATACATTTATTTGTATTTGTTAATCAATAATATAATACGTTTACCAATAATAAGGAACTTCGTTCCAACCGAGTGTTCCACGACACTCACGCATGTTTTTGTTTTATTTCATTTGATCCTTGGTAGACGGGAAATAAAATGGGTGCGAAGGAGAGCGCGATTTGATTGAATGTGGTAAAATTTTTAAGTAATCAAATATTTTTTTTAAAAGGCTTGTTTATTTAAATGTATCAATAGATACCATAATTTTATATTATACTAACTAACACCCGGCGCTTTGATGCCGCAGAAGAAATAATTGCGGAAATATCGTTTTACATTTGGAAGAGTTATATTGATTAATTAGGAATGATAATACATAGTTATATTGATTAATTAGGAATGATAATTAATTATTAAGTTTTTTTTCATTACTATATGTATATTTCTAATATATCACTAATTTAAATTCGAATCTTTCAAACAAAGCAAAATATTAAAAAAAATTACGACAATAAACTTTTAAGTCGTTATATCGTTACGTACCTTATCGTAGTGTTTGGATGATTCAAATTCATGCTAATGCGAATAATTGGTAATAATATTTTAATAATCAAATCTTAAAGTTTTTTACTTGTTATTTGTTTTCTTTTTTAGACTTGCATAAAAACATGAATTAAACAAGTTGAATATTTAAATACAAAAAATTGATAGATGCAAAATACTTATTTAGGAACAAGAATGTAAAGAATAGCATGAGGATAGATGTAGATGTCTATGGACCACAGCAGGTTGATCCAACTTTGTATGAAAGCTAAAAAATCTGCACACAATCATAATTTTGCCAATGTACGTGTTGGGCTTGTAAAAATAAGGCGAGAAAAAATATCGCGAAAAAATTTCTTTCCATCATGTTGTTTTAGATTGTCATTTTAAAAATTAGATACACAAATTCATATTATATCGGAAGAATCTAAAAGTATTAATTCTGTGTTAACCTTTTTTTGGTTTGCTCTTTAAAATATAATTACACACATATTACTCTAAGATTTCCACAAATAAATTACCTATTGATTCATTTAAATTAAATTATTTAATATTAGCAGAATTCTATCCAAAGCCATGAATTAATAGAAAAAGAAAAAAATTGACATTTGTTTGTCAACGTCTTTCATATTGAAGACATTTTCTGAAATTTATTAAAATTTAGTTCATAGGTTTAGTTTGAAATATTTATTATTGATTTTTGCTTAAATTCAGTTATTATGGACTTCATTTTCGTATGTAGTTAAATAAACAGTCATAATATCGTCGTAAATATACAGTAAAGGTTTTTTTGAGATGTTAACTCTGTATAAGATATTGAATATAAATTTATTCATTATTTCAAAGTTTTATGCAAGATTTGTGATCATCATCGAAAGTAAGTTTAGTGTTTTGCAATTAAAAAGCACAAAATCATCTGGTCACTGTCTGCCGGTTTCCTATGATGGGAAAAGAAAAACTTATGACAATATTGTGGTAAGTCTATAAACATTTTGAGTTTATATGCCGTTATTTGTAGGGATTATTACTATATTGACTCGAATTGTATCTGTTTCAGATCACGTATTTGGACTGAGTTAAGTTTTAGTCATGAGAATTTTGCTGATTTAAGTTTACGTTAATGTTCTGAGAAGAATAACTCTCTGACAATATATCAGTAACAAGCGTGGAAATACTATGTACAAAAGCAATAAAAAACAATAATAATGTATGGTTTATAAAACAATCTGTCTTCCAGAAAATAAAATTACATAACTATACTTATTTATAGTTTTATTTTATCCCACTTACTAATCTAAAATATATTGGAGTAATTTTGGTGCAACCTCTCAAATACGAGTATATGGGAATTTATCCCATAGGTTTGTGAGGCTTAAGCCAAAATTACTCGAATATGCCTTAAATAAAAAGTTTAAATTTACAGAATATAAAGGTTTGAAATTCCCGCTAAATAAATAAAAAGTTTTATATGGGCGTACACCGTAGCGCTTTTAGTGTACACTCATAAACTCGTGTTTCCGTTTTCTGCCGACTTCCAAAAAGGAGCCGGTACTCAATTCGACTGTATGTTTTTTTTTTTTTTTTTCGTTTTTTTTTTTTTTTTTTTTTTATGTGTGTTACCTCAGAACTTTTTTCTGGGTGAACCGATTTCGATGATTCTTTTTTTATTTGAAAGCTGGTACTTCTCGTGTGGTCCCATATGAATTTGATCAAGGTCAGACCAATAGTTTTTAAGTTATTCTTAAATAACTTATATTGAAGTCGGCTGTACAAAATTTTTAATTTTAAATTATTAAGTATGAAGTTGGCGTTCTTCTCTTGGTAGAGAGTAATTGTGTTCTGTGGGCCACAGCAACCATTTACCATCCGGTGGACTGTGTGCTCGTTTGTCACCCTATCCTATAAAAAAAAAACTATATTCATTCATTTGACAACGTCAAATTTTAAAATAGTGTTGTCATCTATATTGTAAAATACACCCCCTAGTTTTTAGGGAAAGAACATTCATGTTTTTGTTTTTTTTTCGTAGTACTTAATAATATGCTTAATTAAAATACAATATGGAATATACCAACTATAATAAGCGATAAAAAATGTAAGATTATCGCTCTAGCATACGTCTAAAATATTACTTTAAGTCAATAACTGTCTAAACGTTGGTAATGTTTTTATTTTGTGCATCAATGTTAGACGGAGATAAAATACAAAACTAGGTGCCTCTATAAGAAAAATGAGGAACGGTTACAATGTTTCAAGCGCTCACACCCCATAGACTTCGTATCTTATAGACTAAACATTCAGTGACGTCATCAGCGTGTGAAAGGAATGCACGTATAAACTTAGACATAAGAGTAAGGGAGAAGCAAATCTATATTTCTTGTCTTTTTCTAGGTGTGTTCTTGATTGTTTGCCCTCCATTATTTAACATAAACGATGTCAAGCTTTTGTGAATAACATTGATATTATAAGCAAACAGGTAATTGAATTTAGTGTTTTTTGTGGGTTTTAGTAATGAGGTAAAGTGAGAAAGATGGTAAGCTGTAGCATTTTAGAATGCAATAGCATCAATAAACGAAAAATTGATAATATTACCTTTCACCGATAATTTTGTTTTGTGCTTACATTTGCTACTTGTACTGATTAATATCTATTGTTTTGAATATGAAGTGTAACATTTCATGTTTATAATGAAATTTGTAATGTATTTTGTCAAATATTTGGACTCCCAAATTGTAAATACTTCATTAAAATGCTCCTTAATTTGAACAGTCATTTGAAAGCTCAAAGTCATAACAAACGTGTACTTTTTGATTTAGTAAGATTATGGAAACTTACGCCAGTATATTCTAAGCACAGAATACAAATATTCTCTACCAAGAGAAGAACGCTAACTTCATACTAAAAAACGGAAACACTGGCTTATGATTGTCCACTAAATGCGCTACGGTGGACGGCCATATAAAACTTTTTTAGCGTGAATTTCAAACCTTTGTATTCTGTAACTTTAAACTTTTTATTTAAGGGGCTACTCCATGCGAACGACCTTGAGCATTTGCCGGCGGCACGCCGCTCGCTATTATGTAGTATTATTTTTTCAACATCAATAAACTAATTTATGGAAATACACACAGCGTACAATGATAAATGTATTTTAATTTTTTTATTCGGTATATTAGTTGCATTATATTAGAATTATGTATTCTCATATATTATCTAATTATGAAATTTTATAATTAATTATATATTAAAAATGAAGCATTGAAAATTGTGAGTTTAAAAGATACCTATTCACTATAGGTAAATAAATAGATAGTTCGGCTTTTGTACAAATATTTGGTGCAATAAAAAGAAATAAATAAATAGGATGTTTCGCAGATGTGTTTTTGATTATTGTTAATTTTTACGTGTCACGTATTGAAAAGTAATATACCTACCTACTAATTTTTTAACTGAGCACCTTATAACTTAGCCTGCTTATTATTTATGCTGGCAGACGTTATCCTCACCCCAATGATTGATGAGGATGAAAATCAATTTTATTTCTACATACGTAATATATACATAAGGGTAACTTTAATAAAGGTAATACAAAAATCAACAAGAAGTATAAGAGTTCAATCTTTCAATTTCAATTGCAAAAAAACGTTACCCCCACACTAGGATTTTCTCCTGTGTCGTGGAGGCAGTTTACAAACATAAATTGCACAAGGACAAACATCCAGACCCGGAACAATTATTTGTAGGCCAT